CAAGTTCCATCATCTGGATTCGAACACAGGTCTGTATTTTAACAGTTCATGGGTATACCCACTGAGCTAGGCTCTTGGGTGAAATGGCGAATCATAAAAAGAGGGATCATTCCATTTATTTTCTTTTAGGCAGGGTGCCAGGGTGTGGAAACTGGCCTTCCCCCTCGCTTCTGCAAATCCCACACAGTGGTGGACAAAATTTGCAAGAAGGGGGTAGTTGCCCGATAGCGACCTGCCCCACAATGCTTCGCAGAAGTCCCAAGATGTGTTTGCAAGGCCAACCGACCACCAATATATGCTGAAGCCTGAAGATTGCCATTAAGGTCTGCATGTTGGCAGTTATGGGTGAGGATGAAGATGGCTTTAGCTCTCTTGTTTCTTCTGAATACGTACAGTGGCCCACAAGGCCGCACTCCACTACTCACCACACACACAAAAGACACATCATATGGCGGTGTATGGTTCCATGTTTTAGCAGAAGATTCATTCTACTAATGTTACATACATTTGGTGAGTGGTGGAGGGAGGCCCTGAGAATCACTTGGAGACTCAAACAAGGTCCAGCTAAATTGGTGACCCATAACTGCCGAGCTACAGCCCTGAACTCGAACCCACAGCATATATTGGTGGTCTGCTCCCACCTCTTCCACATATGATGCGGCCATCCTGCTCGTTGAAGCATTGGTCCTCGATGACTCCACATATATTGTAGGAGCCGTTCTAGTTACCTGCAGGGGCCCTTGAATTGACGTGAAAGGGGACCTTTTGGTCTCTCTCCTCTCTCTCTCTCTCTCTCTCTCTCTCTCTCTCTCTCTCTCTCTCTCTCTCTCTCTCTCTCTCTCTCTCTCTCTCTCTCGGTTCAGACTCTCGTCACAAGGTAGCACCGCAGTGATAGTGTCCACGGTAGATTTTACCTGTTGTGGTATTAATAGTATTTTTAATACCGTATTATTATTATAGACTAAATGGGGAACCTGATTTGATTGCGAACCTGATCCGTTAGCCGTAACATCATGTTCGTGCTAGGTTCCAACAGAAAATATGAAAATAGCATGTGATTGCCTTGTGAACTCTGTCCTCTGATGACTGTGATTTTCTGCTATTCTTCCTCCTCTCCCCTTCTCTTCCTCCTTCCCTCCCCCCGGAAGTGGGAGGTACTGGCAGTTGTTTTTTTTTTTTTTTTTTTTTTTTTTTTTGGGGGGGGGTGGGGTGTGTGCGGGGGGGCCGACAGTGAGGAGCGAACCAACGATCTTCAGCTTACGAGGCAGCTTACACAGGTTATTGGTCCGGTGGCTTGGGTCTTTTGATGACTGTACTGTTTGGTCCTGACAGGTGTTGATTGTAGAGCTGCTGAACGATGCGGGCGGTTTAAATGAACGGCTCAGCATGATGGTGGCTGTTCCATACCTCTGGGGTATCCCTCCCGCAAAGGACGCTTTGCGCTATGCGATCCGTTCAGGAGGAGGAATCGTCGAACGCGTTTACCAACGGTGGGAATTGCTTTGATTGCTGGAGTCAGGTAAGAGGGGACGGGGAGGATTTCTCTACCGCGTCGCCAACCGTGGGGCGTGGGCAATGTCTCAATTCTGCGACATTCAAAGTACATTTTACAGTACACAGCACATAAGGGGGTCGGAAGGGGAGGGAAGGGGGGCAGTGGCAGGAGGAGGGGGGCAGGGCTGTTCAAAGACAGGCAGGATCACGAGTTGCGTGACCTGCTGAAGAGCCAGTAAAGGATAGAATCATGTGTATGTGGCATCGCATCTTTTCTATATCGCTCTTGATGGTGTTCACCTTGCAGGGTTTAGCGGTGCAGCACTGGTACCCAGAGGAGATGAAGCAAGCAGTGGGCAGTATACGTGCTTTGCATCTCGTTTCTATATCGTTCTTGCTATACTAGTGATTGCCTTGCAGGGTTTAGCTGTGCAGCACTCTTACACAGAGCAGATGCAGCAAGCAGTGGGCATTGGACATGCTCAATCTATCTTGCACAGGCTATGCCCAGGCCTAAGGGGTTTGCGCTTATCGATTTGCACAGGCAGGCTATGCCCAGGCGCTTATGGATTTGCACAGGCTATGCCCAGGCCTAAGGGGTTTGCGCTTATCGGTTTGCACAGCCTATGCCCAGGTGCTTATGGATTTGCACAGGCTATGCCCAGGCGTAAGGGGGTTGCGCTTATCGATTTGCACAGGCTACGCCCAGGCGATTATGGATTTGCACAGGCTATGCCCAGGCGATTATGGATTTGGACAGGCTATGCCCAGGCGATTATGGATTTGCACAGGTTATGCCCAGGCCTAAGGGGGTTGCGTTTATCGATTTGCACAGGCTATGCCAGGCCTAAGGGGGTTGCGCTTATCGATTTGCACAGGCTATGCCAGGCCTAAGGGGCTTGCGCTTATCGATTTGCACAGGCTATGCCCAGACGCTTATGGATTTGCACAGGCTATGCCCAGGACTAAGGGGGTTGCATTTATATCGATTTGCACAGGCTATGCTCAGGCCTAAGGGCGTTGCACTTATCGATTTGCACAGGCTATGCCCAGTCCTAAGGGGGTTGCGCTTATCGATTTGCAATTGGTGACTGCTGTCCTCAGCAAGACAATGACCACTTGCAATGAACATAACCGATAACCACAACCCCGTCATGGGCGTTGATTTGGCTTATGCTGCATAGAGGGTGATGGTTTTGTTGGGCGAACAACAAGATAGTGTTTGTTTGTGTCTGCAGCCATGGTAGATGGTCTGTAGGTTAACTAACAGGAGAGGATAAAGGCAAAGACAATGGGACAATTTGGCTCCAACGAGACGAGGAGAGGACATATGATCAGAGGGCTAGCAACAGGACCTGTGGTGTGGAGAGAGATGGGAATTGTGTTCCTATTCTCTGGTGTATGTGCAGGACCTGTGCCCTGTCAAGTGAAGGGAAGGGGTTGCTTGAAGTGGCACCACATGGAATGAAGGATGCGGAGACCAGGCGTGCTGCTACTGCTACTGCTACTGCTGCACATTGTGCTCCTTTGGGCTTAGCTCCACTGGATAACATTCTAAATGTACCTGGACCTAGCAGTGGCCCTGATGCATTCAACACGTTTGATCAGTCCGAAGTTCCGAACGTATTTGGTCCATTAAGTAACCTAGATATGTGTCGAACATTGAGTAGTGGAGTGAGGCCCTTGATCTGGAGAACAACTCGTCTAACTACCCTAGGATCAGTAGAAGGAACCTTGTAGGAATCTATGTACAGCATTGATATTGTTTGCAGGGATATTTTTGCTTCTGTATATGATGATCACATCTCACCTGTATATATGGTGTTTATCTCTGTATGCATGTAAGAGAGACAGAGATGGAGCACTCACAGGGGGTAGAGAGAGAGAGAGAGAGAGAGAGAGAGAGAGAGAGAGAGAGAGAGAGAGAGAGAGAGAGAGAGAGAGAGAGAGAGAGAGAGAGAGAG